TGCAGTTGAGTCCTGGACTACAGGCTTGAGGATCACGCTGGAGGAGTGAGCATGCATACGCAATATCCCAAGAGGAGAATGGAGAAGGGATTGCAGCATGGCCATTTCACACTTCTCCTCTCTCTGTCTATGTCTCTCTAGCAAGCACATATGCCCTATGACAAAAATCTAAAAAAAAAGAAAGGGAATGGCTAACATTCAGTGCTTGTTTACTATATTCTAAGAACTGTAGTAGTATTTACCATAGTTTATCGTATTCGCCCTCCCAACCCAGTAAGAAAGGATTGTTAGTATCCTTGTTTATAGAGGAGAAAATGGCACAAAAAAGGTAAGTAATTTGTTCAAATTCTCACAGCTAGTAAGTGGCAAAGCTAGGATTCAAACTGAAGCATTCTAACCACAAAGCATGAATCACAATTATATGTCTCTTCTCCAACTAGACATACTTTCTTAACACAATTCAAATTGTTTTAAATAATTACTTTTGTTCAGGTTTCATATTAGAAACAAAGTAGAAATATCCTATTTATTATTCTTTTACCTCTATCAAGATAGGATGTTAGAAAGTTATATGTAATGCAGAATTTAACTAAACCTTTTTACTTTGTAGGTAATACTGCCATCACTTGATTTAAGGGTAATATATAACTCATTAGAATCTACATGGGAAAAGTAGAAAACTGAGCAAATTAGAATCCTTTCGTTCTTGCCCAATCACAGAGCTTTAAATTGCAGAGAACTAAAGATCTATCTTAAAATTAATCAAGGGAAAAGGACCCTTTAGAAATTTGATTGGCAGATATAAACTTCTATGTAATCATTCTTATCCTTTTGCTCTCCTAAGCTAAATAATAACCAAAAAGAAAAAAAAAACTAAAAGAATTTTAAGATTTACTTCATGTTACGATAGATCAAATGTTTCACCTTTCCATTTAAATAGAGTCTCGTTCATCGCTGGATTTTTAAAAGTGACCCTAATATAGCACTGCATACTACTGAATATATATACATAGCATCTAGTCAATTATGACTGCCAGTCCTTTCTGGCCCCTCTTATGCCTGAAAATACTGATCACTTTGCAACTATGCTGTGGTTCTTCACAAATGACACCACTCTTGTGTCTCTCAAACATCTCACGTTGTATGATAAACTTTGCATTTGATCTGAAGCTTGAAATCATATTGAAGAGAGAACTTGAAATCGGCTCTTTTGTCATTTGTAGTTACAGAAAAATGCAATTGTTTTGCCCTGCATACTGATCATTTCTAGAGCAAATATGGTATATTTCTCTAACTAAAATGGATCATGGGTATGTTAAGATTAAACTAATAAGATTAATCAGGAAAAAATTCTACATTGGTAGCAATCACAGCATCGTTAAGAGATTATACAGTGATCTATGTAGTTAGTGATTTCTATGTAGCTAGTAATCTTGAGTCTTCAAGGGACACAATTCCTTGTATTAAAAAGAATCACACATACTAACAAGTTTTTATTCACTATATTAAGTGAACAACCATGATTAGAAGAAGCGGGGGAAAAAAAAAATCCCACATTAGCAAACTGGAGTGTCTCTGTTACCAAGACAAACGGTTAGTGAAATATCTCTTTAAAGTCGACAGACTCTTGTAAAGCTTACAGAGTACTAACTGTATCCACTAATCCAGACATTGCAAGTATTCGAGCTCTCAGGGAACTCCTAGTTAAATCAGAGTCTAGATAAAAGGATGTTTCTTTTCTTTTATCTTTTCTTCTTTTTTGCTCTAGGGCACAGGCACTTGCCAGAGAGATAGAAAGTGAGAAATCACCCCCCAGGGAGAATAGCCATGCTCCAACCCCTTCTCCTCCATTCTTCTCTTGGGATTTTGGGCATGCACACACACATACCCAGTGTGAATTTTAAACCACCGTGTCCGGGACTCGAACCACAGTTGACTACGTGGGAGTCCAGCATTGTAACCATTATGCCATCTGCTGGTCCCCTCCCCTTTTTTAGGTTTTTGCCATAGGGCACATGCACACACCAGAAAGAGACAGAGAGACACAAAGAGAAATTACCCCTCAGGAGCAAAGGCCATATCTCAACCCCTTTTTCTCCATTCTCTTCTCAGGATTTTGGACACACATGCATGCACACACATGTGCCTAGTATGATTTTCTTTTCTTTTTTTTAAGAATCATTTTATTTAACTTTATTTATTTACTTACTTTAATTTGACCAGAGAGGGAGAGTGAGAGATCTAGAGAGCAGAGAGAGAGAGAAAGCAAGTCGCCATGTCCAGGACTTGAAACGTTGTCAGCCATGTGGAAGTCCACTGCCCTTAACCATCATGTCACCTGCCAGCCCTGCCAGGTATGATTTTCCAGCCACCAGGTTCAGGCCTTGAACCACAGCCATGTGAGAGTCCAGCAACTTAACCACTGTGCTACCTGCTGACCTCAGAACAAGGATGTTTCTAATCTTTAAATTTAGAATTATCCTATCTATGGGAGGGAGGGGCAAGAGTATGGTGGTTAAGGTGCTGGGCTCCCACATGACCTAACACAGTTCTAGTCCCAGACCTGCAGCTTGAAAATCATGGCAGGCCTGTGTGCGTATATGCTCAAAATCCCAAGGGGAGAATGGAGGATAAAGGGCTGTGGTGTGGCCACCCCACTGGGAAGGTGATTTCTCACTTTCTCTCTCTGTCCCTCCCTGGCTTGTGCACTTGCCCTTTGGCAAAAACATAAAAAAATAAACAAACAAGATTATTCTATCTATAAGACTTTCCTATCTATGATATCTGTATCTGACATGGCCTCTCACAGTTACCTCATATCACAAAATTATTCTCATCAACGCACTTTACATATGTTTTATGTATTCTTTCTTCTCCATTAGTGTACAAGCTGTATGTTTTGTTCACTTTCCTGAAGAAAATTATAACTCCTTTTGTTAAAAATATTCTCTCAAATAAGTGGCAATCTTAAAAAGAAAGGATGCAGGGGACCAGCAGGGGGCGAAAAGGTTTAGTTTCTGGAAGCCCATGCAGTCAACAGCAGTTTGAGTTCTAGAGCCCCTGGAAGCCCATGCAGTCAACAGCAGTTTGAGTTCCAGAGCCCCTGGCCCACCATGCCCAAAATCCCTAGAGGAGAATGGAGGATAAAGGGCTGTGGCATGGCCATCTCCCTAGGAGGTTATTTCTTGCTTCCTGTCTCTCCAGCGAGCAAACACGCCCTATAGTAAAAATGTCTTTTTTTAAAAAAAAGGATGCAGATTCAGATGATGAATCGACTGCTTTCTTCAAATTGACAAAGTAACATGGGTTATGTTATATGAAATATCAGGATATCGTATTTTTTATTTATATTGATTGATTGATTGATTGATTGCCTCAGGGCCTCCCATCTCACCAGAGACAGAGAAGGAAAGTAAGAAATCACCTCCCACGGGGGATGGCCACTCTGCAGTCCCTCCTCCATTCTCCTCTCTGGATTTTGAGGGGGCACTCATGCAAACATTCTGGTGAGATTTTCAAGTCACTGGGTGGGAGATTCCAAACGCAATCTTGATGTGGGAATCCAGGGCTTTAACCACTCCACCTGCTGGCCCAGGATATTGTATTTAAAAATAGTTTCCATATATTAACATTAGTTTAATGAATTGTGCATACTCACTCTCAGGTTCTTCATCTAGTTCCAATCAAAATCGATTTGTGAGAGATCCTTTCCTTACATCAATCTCACCTACTTGGAAGAACAAACTAAAGGCTGTTGAAGTCTTTCCTGTTAACTTTTCAAGCTAACAACCGAGCTAGAAACAGACACACACCGGGGTAAGGGAAGGTTTATTCCAGCATAGAGCGAAACTCTCTTTTTTTTTTTTTCCCAAAGAAATACAAGGGTCTGTTATACAGCATACTGAACTAATATTTTTATGTTTGTGAAGCTAACTTTACTTCTGAACTTTATAAATTCTCACTTTTATGAGGCTTGAAATTCTTCCCCTCCTTTCGCCACTGGTCACAGTCGTAGTAGTTCGCATAATGGATTTCGCACGGTCATCCTACCAAGATTATGGCACGCTCCCTACTCTAACCGCCCCCAAACGCTCAGCAGATAGGCTGAAAGCAGCTCGCTGGTCGGCAGCGACGCCTAGGGACGCAGCCAGTGGAGCGAGGGCAATCGAATGGCTTTGCGGACAGCTCCTTGTTTTTGCCCCTTGCAAACGTAACACTTTATCTTATTTATTCCCGTATTAGCAGTTACGAGTCTTGTCAAGGCAACTGGATGCGCAGCTTTCTCACCGCTGCTGGAACCACTGTGGTCTTGGCTTGCCTCACATTAAACCACCGCTTCTCGTTCAAACTGCGCTTCAGTTTACAAGACACTTTGCAGGCGTTATCAGATTCAATCGTCACACCAAGCCTGCGGGGTGTGCGTTGTTGTCGCCGTGCCTATTTTACCTGTAAAGTAAGGATCCTGTCCACAGACCCAGTCCTAAGGGCCGCCCTCTCTCCAGCTGGAGGAAGCAGGCTCCTGGCTAAGGGACCTGCAGGTGTGACGCTCGCGGACTCACCTGGTCGGCCGGGCGATCGCATCCACTCAGCTGCCAACGATGTGGGCCCCGCGAAGCGGCCGCCCGGGGGG